CAGTATATAATTATATATATATATCAGATCGCACCATCACTACATCACCTTCGTCGAAATGTACTAAGTCGTGAGCGTGCAGGGGGCCAAATGTCTTCGTAAGTTTGCCCGTATACTTCTTGGTAATGTTGTGGAGTGCCGAAAGGATAGTGTCCTGCAACTGGTCCAACCGTTGAGCCCATGTGACAATTACTAACCGGCTGGGCGTCAGGTAGCTCATTAGTGAGGTCGGCAAACGGAACGTGGCAGCGAGAAAAATACACGCTGAAAGGTGCACTCTTATGTCGACGAGATGTACGGAGATTCTAGTAGAGCATTGTGAAAGGGAGGCGTTCATCCCACCTCAAAGGTACCGCTTCACAGCACTGTCGAATGGACCTCGTAATCTCCTTGTGACGCCGTTCGGCAGCACCCAGTACTTGGGGTCGGTACGGCGGGGACATCTTATGTAGCATGCCCACTTCTTGAACAAGGGTTTCCACTATCTAGTTGGTGAATTTGTTCCCCATGTCTGTCTGGATCAATCGCGGGAAGCCATGCTCACCAAAAACCTCTTTCAAGGTCTGCTCCATCGTCTCTTTCGTCTTATCAGGTGTTGCTCGAAGGATTCAGTAGCCTGTAGCGATATCTAGAACGTGAAGTATGTAATTATTCTTCCTCCGAGATTTGAGTGGCATCGGAATGTAATCGACTTGAATATGATCCCTTGGGTAGCGAGCGTCAATGCTGATCATCAGTGGGGAGCCTTTACGCAGCGTGTCCTGACCCAGACATGTACCACATTGTCGTTTGCCTTCAGTTACCAGCTCGAGTGCGCCTGGCCACACGTTGCAATTATGTCGGAGTTGCTGAACTGTGTCTGCCGCTCCATGGTGGCCTTGTTCGTGGTGAGCTTGCATGAGCTGTGCCGGTGTTGCTTGTGCAAACGCTGGTTGACCCTCTGCCTCTGCCATCGTAACCGATATTTCTCGTGCTGTATCTAAACACATCATGTGCGCGGTGTGTCGTAGTTCTGCATACCTTAGTCGTTGTGAGAATAGTGGGTCTAGCTTGTAACAACTAGCTGGACCCACTCGTGTGATCACGGTGTGTCCTCATGTTGTCTTACCACATGCGTACTTAGCATACTTCAGAAACGTAGGCGGTGTTCGTGGCACCAACACTGGTTCTGACTGTAGCAACTGCCTGAACAAGTCAAACCACGGCGCTCTCGGAACCCAAGGTAAGCATACTGTTGCACTTGCTCCGTCGGCTTTTATGTTCCGCAACATCCTATGTATTTTCTCCCATGATGGGTTCATCCACCCAACTACCATGATCCAGTCGTGAGCAAACGCTCCTTCCCCGTCATCCTTCGTTTAAAATCGAGGTAATTGAGCATTGTTTGGGTCCGCGAATACGTCTATGTTATTCGGTCCGAAGTGTTGTTGAGCTTTGGGAAACAATTGTCAACGATCCGAATACAGTACTTCAGGTTCGTCCCTTTCCGCACCCTCATGTACTCCGCTTAGCATGTCTGGTAACATAGTCGTCTCCCCCAGTATGTGTGGTTTTGTGGAGTTGAATGGTGCGATAATGTGGTGCCATCTCTGCAGCATCGGATTATTTTTAAGCTGTGTGATCATATACACCAGGGCCTTGTGATCTGTAAGATTGCAAATCGTTGCCCGTCATGGTAATTCCGGAAATTTGTAAGCCCATAATTCAAAGCTAGTAACTCCTTCATTGGTGTAACGTAGTTTTGTTGCGCATGATTCAATGTCTTACTAAAGAACATGTAATAGTGTTTCTTCCCGTTGACCCATTTGAAACAATGTTCCACCCAAACTATAATCACTAGCATCCGTTTCCAAGTTCAATGGTATATCGTCCACCGGGAAGTGCAACGCGATCCCGTTAACTACTGCATCTTCCATCGCCTGCCACGCATGTGCATGTGGTTCCTCCCATCGATCACCGATCAATTCGTTCGGCATTAAATTGCAAAATTCTCGTGAAGGTGCGACTGTGTTCGCGAAGTTTGGGAGACGCTCATGGAGGTAATTCGCCAAACCTAAGGTGGAAGCGGTGACCTTGTGCCATGGCGGGGTAGGTCAGTTGAGTAGCTTTGCTTGTTTCTCATGGTCTACGTCGATGCCTTGTGCAGACAAATTCTTCCCCAGGATCATGACTTCGGCGATGGCAAAGTGGCACTTAGCAGGGTTGAGCTTGAAGCCATGGTACGTTAATCGTTGGATCACCTTCTGCACCGTCTTAATGTGTTCGTCATAATCATCGCTGGCGATAACTATGTCTGGACAAGTAGACTGTCGAGTATCGTGCTTAATGTACGTTAGAACTGCTGCGTCAGTCCATGGAGTTCGAACGGTGTTGATGTAAACGAGTATACAGCCTGTGGTATGCTGCGGAAAGATACTAGGTCGTGTAGTACTTCTTTCTCTTTAGCCGATATATAAGTTCATTTACTTTCAAAACCAAGAACTGGTCGCCAGGGACAAGCGCGTTTACAGCGCGCATGTCTAAGCACACCCTCACCTTCTTCACGTTTCCTTCGGCATCGAACGTCGGGACCGCCAGTCGTGCGAGGCTCACTGTCGTGGGTGTCGTGGGTGTCGTTATCACTAGGTCCGTCAACCACTTCTTTTCTTGCTGGGCGTAATAGGGTAGCCATCGGTCTCATACAAAGTTGCGCGTAGACTTACGCATGTGCATAGCTTGTTCACGTGTGACCGGTATGGTAACCTCACTGCCCTCAAGACGACATCTCGTGTTGTCGGCAATCATCGCATTCGCCTCTAAGTCTAGTGCTAACCGTTGGCGTGCGTCGACAGACTCTGTCGTGTTAGGTGCTTGTCAGCGTGGGATGGGTTCGAGGAGCTCGTCAAGTTCTGTAGGGTTAATTGGTGCGCGAGGAGATTGAATACCGCCTATGTACAGATCCAGTCCTTTCAACATATCTTGTCTCACTATGATATCCATGCCCACTGGTAAATTCATCAGTTCAAGTGATCCGTCGATAATTTTTGTTCCGTATCTAATTGGCAACACTTCCGTCGTCCCCAGTCGAGGAGTTCGTACCGCCTTGTCAGCTAGATAGAGTAATGACCCAGGTGGTGCTGGAGTTATTGGGCGGCCGAAAAGGTTTGCGTGTGTCTGTGATATACAACTTCTGTTTGCCCCCGTGTCTATCAATGCTCTGAACGTGCGTCCGTTGACCTGCACTTGAACATAGACTCAGTTATCAGATGACAGCAATGGGTCCTATATCGCCATAACTGCATTGATAGTACTTACAAACGTCAAACTTATATCTGACTCAGACACCCTCACGTCTCACTCGCGCCTGGTGACTGACTCCCATGCCCCTTAGTTGTTATCTGGCTCCGGTATCTCGTGATTAATAGAACTGGCGATTCGTACCCGAGTCCATGATGTGGTCGAGTGCGGCTGTGAATATGGCACGTCGGGTTGTCCTCGCTGTCTGACGACGGACGCTCACGCTTGCGCGTGTTGTCAGTTGTCTCGTTAGCAGAAGGTGTGGATGCGGTCCACCCGGGAGAAGTGCGCTGAAGACGTATTCGTACTTGTCCAACAGTGACTGTTGTTGCGCCAATAACTGGGTCAGTTTCTGTGCAGAATCCTAGTCACGCACAGTGCCCTTGCTGTTGGTGCATCGACGATGACGCCTACGCTTGCTGGGTGAGAGGCGTGGCTGGTCGTTGCTTGAAGACGATGAGCCGGAAGTTCCCGAGGACGAACGAGAAGGCAGACCGTTGCTAGCTACATATTCGCCAGTATCGGTCCGGTTTTGATCCGCACGCGGGTCGGAAGCTCCCATAGACTCGGTGTCGAATACAACGTCATTCTCTTGTAAGCTAGGTTCGTCTCTGAGTGGTGACGAGCCTCTTGACTCGCCTGGTATTGCTCATCCGGATCCTTCTCAGGTTTCTGGTTGATGCGGTCCGGATTAGACTGGTGACGCCTAGTGACGCGTCGATCAATATCGTCTTCCTTGCGACGTTCAGGGTTAAGATGCTGCTGTCGACGATTTTGGCGAGGGCTGGACATGGTGGAGGAAGTTGATTTCAATGAAGATCTCAGAAATGTGAGTGATCGAACTCTAAATAGGTTTAGTATAAATACACATTTTAGCCCAAGAGGCCGACCCTTGAAAATACCAAACCTCGACGATTATCCTCGTGGAACGGGCTTACCCATTCTCGACTACTTCAACTCACTCAGAGTGATAGGTGAGTCTCGGCGTGAACTCACCATTCAGCGATCTGTCGTCTTGCTTCCCCTACGTCGAAGCTTGCGCCGGAGTACGCCCTGCTTATCGGATCATCTCTTGAAACCGATGTGGACTACTCTTTCTCCGACGGAGAGCCATCCCTGTATCGTCGAGAGCTCCTAGGTTGCTCCCGTTTCTTTGCTTCCCTTACTCGTTGTTTCGCGTCATGTCTTCCTGTCGTCTAAGCCTTGTCGTCATATGTCGCTCTCCAATTTTACTCTCCAACAACAACATACACTATACGCCCCACCACCGGATCCCTCATGTAGCTATACCATATTATAACTTTGACATGGAGATCTTGGTACAACATCGACGCTTTCAAATTTTGTCCGCACAATTTACCACACACGCATCTTATATCAAATTCTAGAACACGATCTGTGATCCTGAGATACTTCAATGGTTCTCTATGTAAACTCTCTTATCTTATTTCCTCTATTAATCTTATACGGCTGCACCCATCGTTCACCATCGAACTGTTTACGCCTCCTCATGGGGGCCCAATTGGACTGAGTTCGCTATCACCCTCTGTAGTAACTTTTGTAATATATATCCTATGTGGCCAACCTCGTATATTCGTATTGTAGGCTATCAAACTTGTCGGTCAAGATATTTTGAACTTGCTTATATTCCGTGGTATACATGGACACCATTAACCGCGCATCTAACTTTCTCCCGATATCAAATCTAGCCCTTTTCTCGTAGGATGCTCATTATGTTGTTGTAATCGTGGTATGTATCGACAGCCGTAAACAATACATAATCTATACTTAAAATTTGCTCCAAATGTATCGTGGTATCCTCTTGTGATATTCGATCTCAGTAACCTTTCTAACATCCTATATCACAACGCTTCTATTCTAGAGTAAGACTGATAATTCCTTGTAAGTCCTGTGTTACTGTCCACCTATATCGTATTCTTGCAATCCTAACATAACGCTCTACCGACGTCTCAACCTCTTATTACCAACTGATTTTGCCCTAAACATGCACGCTTCCCATTCCATTATACTGTCATTCCTGCCTCTATTTTCTAACAGCCCCATTTGACAGGGGTCAGGCCCAACACATTGTAAGACATAACTGCACACTCATACTCATACACTACAGGTATTTAACCTCAAATACCTTTCCCTAAAACATCTCTACTTCTCTTCGTCTTCCGATTGGTCCTTTGTCTTTGTCATTTGGTCTTCCTAGATCTGATCTTGTGGCTCATGTGCCAATGATGTATTCGACTATACGGCTTCCACTTCGAATTCGACTGTGGGTTCGGTCTCTGCCTCTGTTATTGTAGTCCAAATACCATCGGTGAACCGGATAGACAATCCAAAGTACACAAAATGTTTGGCCATGTTGATTCTGTTGATTCAGAAACTACTACTGTTCACCTCGTAATTCCTACGAGCTTTACTGCTGCTATTTGACAATAAAGGTGGCAAAGTAGCACTGGCATCGCTACTAGTATAGCCACTGTCATTTTCTTTGACGGGCAAAGTTTGGAAGATGTCATTATCTTGCGACAACCTATTACTTCCAATGTTTTCAAAGTCCCTTCCTCTTCTAGTTCTATTACTAATAAAAAAATTGTGAGCTGTCTATCTTCTGTATATTAGTTACTTCCTGATTACTAACAAATTAACAACATCTCTTCTAGCTACTACTAAAAAAATCTGTGAGCTACTGTCTATCTCCTGTATAGTAGCTACTTCCTGATTACTAACAAATTAACATCTATGGTAAGTTAAATATGTCGTAGGTACACCTGAGGAAAACTGTATCTCAACGTCCTACCCCCATAGAGAGGGAGATGTTGTTCTTTTATTAGTAGCCTTAATAATCACTGACTTTTCTAATTGATGAGTCATGTGCCGATTCTATTAATCGGTGACTTTTCTAATTGGTGAGTCATGTGCCGATTCTATAAATCGGTAACTAAACTCTAATAAACTTAAGTATAACCCTACCGGGTGTATTACGACCACAATGTTTGATAAAACGTGTATGGTGACATACCTGATCATGTAAGCGTATTAACGCGTGCTTGATAAACTTATCAAACTTGTTTGCTCGTGCACGGTTGTTGCCCAGCACGACCTGCAAAAGCAAATATTCATCGACTCTGACTTTGTATGAGCTCGAACGTCGCCATATAGTTCCGTATCTTGTTCAATCCAGAACAATCACCTGTCAGTACCTGGAACAAATTCGCCTCGTGAACGCCCCACTTATCCACACAAGACTATCAATCTTTTAGTATTGCGCTTGATTTGTCGTGTACGGAACTGTTTCAAATGTCTATAACATTCTGTAATCGCCCTACACATCTTTTCCTCACTAGATTCATTAGCATCCGTCGGCAACTTCCAAGCTGAGCAGTGTGCCGGAATGTTATTGCCATGACTTTTAGAATATAGTACAATATTTACACTAATGCACAGCCGGTCATAGAAATATAGTCGATGCTGGGGCATAATTGGGGCGTAGAGTGCTATATCGAAGGGCTCGTAAATATTTAGTTTGATAGCGGCGAGTTTGATTGTTTCGTATCAAGCTGGATACTCAGCTCTACCCGGAATCGCAATCATCTTCATACCATTTGTCTACTTCCGCACATCACATATTGATTCTCAGTTGGCCTTGGTGACTGCTTGTTGACGGAAGAAGTAGGTATTCACACTACATAGTAAGGGAGCCCAATAGAACCTTTGAATCCACTTTCACTGCCTCTCACCCTTTTGAAGCGTACGCTTCTAAGTTTGACAGTAGCGCCCAGCACCTTAGCGGCTTTGAGTACATCTTCCCGCTTCATCCTATGACCTCCAGACGCATGTGAGTCGCCCTGTTTTGTGAATTCAAAACTCTCATGGATCGAATTCACCTTGTTCTTCCTGTTGAACTTTTCATGGTTCCCATCTACCATATTCAACACGTATGTAATGTTCGTGATAGTAGGGTCGGTTGTATAGTTATGTCGTATAAAGTCAACATTTTGATCACGCAAGTAAACTACAAGGTTGTGGTATTTATTGATGCTATAATTTACCTGATTTTGCAGTAGCAAATAGTTACGTTTAGCCTGTATGAGCACTTCGTTTATATTCATTTACTGCGTCTCGTCGGTGTCGTTCTCGATGACGGCCTGCTCCATACGACTCTATTAATCATGCTTTGTAGTTACAAACTTATAAAATTATATAAACTGATCAACTGTCACGGCTGATGGCACACGCGTATAAAGTCTTCGGCGAGCTAATTTTCTGACACTGTTCAACCGCACGTCTTTCTTGTAACCGTTGATGACGAATTCGGCCCCTGCCAGATCCAAAAAGTCATTGTAGAAATTGAAGCAGCTCTGCACAGTTTGAGCTAGTGGTACGATCGCGACGTTCTGACCCAGAAGTCTTCCATTGAGACATATAGGAGTTTGTCCCTGATATGTCTATTGCTTCACTCATCGTGTCTACAGTTTGCTAGTGACTGAGTCGTATGCGTGCAGCGTCAGCTGTACTTTTTATATGTTTGCACAAACAACATCTTGGATGTTGTGTGTGCAAATTTTTATGAAAATGGTAGCAAACGACAGCGTTCAAGATGCTTTCACTGTCGGTTTGTAGTATTCTAATGAGATATATGCCCGCCAGATACATAAGTAAAGTGATGACGAAGACAAGGCAGGCTAAATTAATTACCCTTACATTGTCCCCATATGTATTCAAAATACTTCACCCCTCTAACCTTTAGTCATCACCGCATATGTGAGAGATTAGAGTAAAGACTCCTTCCTCCTACCTAATTTTGAACAATTTTCCGTCATCACCACGTATGTGAAGGATTGAGGCAAAGGCACTCTCCTCCTATCTAATTTTGAAGGAATTTAGTCTGAACCAAATTTCAATTGGGAACCGCCTAATGCACCAAGTTCGGAACCTATGGACATTTATGTCTCGTATTCAGCACTATGAGGAAGGTTTGAATATCAAGGTTTGCAAACTACTAAGGTTCGGCAAATCGTACACTTTCGTCCCGGTTTTCCCCATCGTGAAAATCACTTGAATGTTAAGGCTTGTAGAGAAATGAAGATTTGCCTTCCAGGATTGTTGCTGATTGAGGTTAAATGATTGCAATATAGATATCTGTGTCCTTTTCTAGTGCGATAAATTGGAATATCAATGTTCAAAAATTACGAACATACTTGTTCCAATTCACCACTATGCGGAAAACTTTAATATCAAGGCTCGGGAACCTCCGTTTTCCATCATCATGATGAGTACTTGAATGTAACGGCTCGTGTGAAATTGAATGCTATGCGTCCCGGGGTTGTAGCTAAATGAATTTGAATGAATGCAATATGGACACGTATGTCCAGATTGTTATTCGCACTATACATAAACTTGAATACCAAGCCTTGAATGTCAAATTTTTAGAAATATAAATTGTCAGTGTCCACGAATACAGTTGTCACGGAATAACTGCAATATGGACGCATATGTCCCGTTTTCAGCATTTTGTGGTAAATCATGATATCAAGGTTTGTAGAATATAACCACTTGTCACGTTTTCAGCAATATGCAAAACACTAGAATGTTGGAGTCTGGCACTGACAGATCGCAATCTGGCACTTCCTGCGTTCAGCATTATTATGTATACTTGAATGTCACTTGTAGACTATAGAAACTTTGAGTGTAGTTGTTATCGCCTAATGAAGATTGCAATATGAACACACAAGCATTATGTGGAAATTTAAACATCAGAGGTCGGGAATCATCGACAATTATGTACTTGTTTTTCAGCTTTACGGAAACACTTGAATACCAGTTTGTCGTCAGTGAATATTTGCAATTTGGACACATGTTCAGCTTGATCCGGAGAATATGGATATCGAAGTTAGTAGATTTTGGGCACGTCATGTTTTCATCATCATGCAAAACACTTCAACATGGACACTTCTGTCCGGGGTTCAGTTGCAAATATCCAAACTGCTCGAACGTTGCAGATTTGCTGATTGATTGCAATATAGACACCTATGTCCTGTTTTCAGCATCGTGACAAACACTTGAATGTCAAGAAACATAGATGATGAACACTTTGTGTTCTGAGGTCGGTTTAATGTATATGATTGCAATACTGACACAAATGTCCAGAATTCAGCATTATACGGAAAATGTGCATATCATAATTCAGGGATTTTCGAAAATTACTGACGTTTGCTATATGATATTCCATACATATATAAGTAATATTTGAATTATATGTTGTATGGTGTCGATAACCGGCTGTAAAAATCCACTGTTTATTGTATGACAGTACGCAATTCGACGAACTACTTTTAAGTAGTCCATGCTGGATTGCTCCTATTAACAAAATCATATACACTACCAAAAGTATCCTCAAAAAAGGTAATCCGTGTGGTCCCCCACCACAGTACTGACCACGCTCGCAGCAGTTTGACTTCCGGGATCGGACGGGACAGGGCATTTTTTGCTGCATGTGGCCGTAGGCGAAAATCAGCGTTCATATTCCATTTGTATATTTATCTGCATTTTTATTCCGTGATAACCAGTAATATTTACAATGTATTGTAAAGCATACGATATATATCTTTGAAATACTATAAGTTCTCCAATGTACGCGGACACCAAAATATTTGCATGTCAATTTTTCAGTGATTTTCTAAATTTCTGACGTTTGTTAATATGATGATCGTTCTCATGTTATGTCTGTATTTGCGTAAAAAATCATAAAAATTTAAATAGGTATAACATA